CACAGAGCACCTCCTGCTTTCCTGGGTCTCACTAGGCTCAATTTGGGCTCAGCCTGTCAATGAAAGGCCTGATTACCACAGTCAGGCTCTGTGCTTGCCACATGCCAGGAGGAAGGACCACGGGAACCAGGAGGAAGGGTCACAGGAGGGTGGCAGCCACAACACAGGAGTTTGATTGGGTCACTGTGCCAGTCCCACAGGGGTGACCTAACCAGGGATGTCAGGGGACCAAGCAGAAGCATTTAGGAGGCCAGTTGGTCAGTGTGGGACTGTCTGTGCAGTGTTTGGAGGGGCTGGGGTGCACATGCCCACCTACCCCAGGCTACCCTGAGGGAGACAGTGTGGAATGCCCAGAGCTGTGGGTGCAGTGTGGGGACGTGGGCCCAAATGAGGTGTTTGCTCTGAGTGAGAAGGCTTCTCCCTGGGGATGAGCATGCCCACCTGGAAGAGGAAGACCACTTTAGCCCATGGCTCAGGAGAGGATCCTGAGGTGATGGCTGGGGATATGATGTGTGCCAGAGCCCAGAGCCAGGCACCTGCAGAGGCAACGCTGGTGGGCTGTCACTGCCCTGCCAGATGGGACAATGCATGAGGAGCCAAGCCACCCAAAAATCAGACAGGCCCCACCAGTGGGTCTCCCAGGCAGTGCTGTGTGGGTCTGTCACCAGCTCCAGGACAAACTTCCCTGGCCTGAGCAGGTGCCAAGTCACCTCCAAGGCAGCTCCATGAGTGTGAACCCTCAGGGGGAGCAGCTGCCTCTCTGCAGCCTGGGGAGGGTGTGTGTCCCATCAGAGCTGACACTAAAAGTGATAGTCCAAGGACCAAAGTGAGCTGGGCTGCCATGGCCCTAGGTGTCTGTCTGTCTGTCCCTCTATAGGAGCCCTGCAGCACCCCAGGCACCTGCCCTGCTCCAGGAGCTTGGGCTGGCCCTGGCAGGCTCATGGTCCTTCTGGGCTGGCCACCACCCCACTTCAGAGTGGGGAACCTCCAGGCTGGGGGCCTTTGACCACAGGAGAGCTGCTAAATTAGGTGAGCCCTTGCCTTCCTCCCACCCTGGAGCTGGTCCTGGCCAGTTTGGAGCACACACTGCCCCAGGTGAGTGGCTGGGCCCCCAGTTGTGGTGGTCCTGGCAGGAAGTGTCCGTGCACCCTGGTGCACCCTGTGCCCCTGGGGAACGTGGGGTGTCTGCCTGATTGCTCCCACCAGCAGCTCCAGCCCCTTCACAGGAAGCTGGGAGTGGGGACAAGGTCCTGCATGGAACAGGCAGGGATATTGGTTAACAGGCAGTAAGGAGCTGGCAGCAGACAGGGTGACCCTCTGTGACCCTCCTGCCTGCAAGGTGGCTCTCCCTGGCTCTCCCTGTCCCTGCCCAGCAGAGCCACATCAAGGGGGGGCAAGGTGCCCTTGCTCACCCCAGGGAGGAGGAGGAAGGGTTGCCACTGGGTGTGCTCATGCATTTATTTCTGCTGGGCCAGGGAGCAGCCTGGGCCCAGTCCAGCCCCTCTCCAGCTGGTGTGCAGCCAAACCCGGGCAGGGAGCTGGAGGTGCCCCCCATCCTACCCAAGACTGGCTCTGTGGAAGCCAGGCTGGATAAGAAGCAGCCCCCAGAGCCAGGATAGCTGGGAGAGGAGGGGTGGGGCTGTGTTTGTGTCCCCAAGAGACCCCCCTGAGCCATAATCCCCAGAGCAGTGGGGGTGCAAATGGGGTGTAAACCTGAGCTGGAGCCAGTCAGGGTTGGGGTGCGAGGGTGCCCCAGCTGGGCCCCTCTGGGCTGTTAATCAAAAGAACTCTATTAACAATTAACTCTATTAACAGAGGAGTGGCTGCAGGGGATGTTGCTGAAGGGAGGGGGAGCTGCCCCCCCCCCATCCTCGGGTGCTGCCAAGCATGGCAGCCCTTCCCTGGGTGGGCAGAGCCACCAGCAGCAGGACTGGGGAGCAGAGCTCTGCCCACAGATCCCAAGGCAGGTGAGGGCTGAGGTTGTCCCAGGGGCTGTCCCCTCAGCCCCAGCCCTGCCAGACCAGCCCCTTTGGGAGGAGACTGATGGCCAGGCTCAGGATTCTGCTGCCCCAGCCTGCCCCTCCTGCCCCCAGCCCAGCTGGCAGCTCCAAAGGCCTTCCAGGAGCCAGGTTTAACCCCTTCCTTTCCAACGAGCAGCCCAGCTACTCCAGGAGGAGGGAAGACGCCCTGATGGGGCTCTGTGACCCCACACCCCCAGGCTGCAGCACCCAGCACCCCCAATGAGCAGCTCAGCACCCCAAACCTGTGGTTATGGGGACATCAACGCACGAGAACGGGCTGGGGTAGGACTGGGGAGCGGGGTCTGCACTGAGCTTGCAAGGCCTCAGCTCTGGGGCTGTCAGGCTTCATCCAGCTTGTCTCAGCTCCCCTGGAACTTTTGATTTCCTTTCGATGTGACAGTATCAAATCACCAAGTGGCCAATTACTCAGATTTAGTTGCTTCCCTTTGGTGTGATGTCTGTTGTGATTCAAGGGTGGCAATGAGCAACACGAAGGAACCCAGAAAAACCCCTCAGGTGAAAGAGCTGGGTAAAGAAGTCCAGGCCTGGCATGGGGTGACAGCTGAGGCCCCATCAGCAGCTCACCCTCGGGCAGTTCCTTTTGGTGACACAGTGCTGGCAAAACATGGTGTCAGGGGCAAGAGGAGTGAAGGACCAGCATCCAGCAGGGGTACAATACATCACTTACCATGAAGGCAGATGAAATGTGGAGCTACAGAGTGATGAAGTGAGGGGTAAGATGTGCTAAAAACTGTGTAAAATGGCCCCAGTGGGCTTGAGAGTGAGGAGGAGGAAGTCCCCTCAGGGAACATCACACTTCTCCCAGCAAAGTCCTCAGGATGTTCCCTGACCTCCCCTTGAGGGCCCAGGCCAGGAGGGGCTGTGGACAGCTGCCAGTGCAGTCTGATACTGAGATCTGCTCTCCTGGCTAAAGGGAAGCACCATCAAATCCAGTTGCTCCTGGCACCTTCTCCACCAAGGAAACAACTGGGGAACGACAAGAATGCAATGACAGTATTGACACAAGGACAAGAAGGGGCAGAACCCTGTGTGTGTCCGTGTGTTTGGACCAGCTCCAGCCACTTTGTGCCCAAGCTCCTGAAATCCTTCCTGGAGCAGAGGAGCAGTCAGGCCTGACCAGGGCAAAGGTGACACTGGGGAGAAGTTTTAGGGCACCCTGCATACCATGCTTCCCCAGGGAGGCCAGCCTGCCCCACTGACTGTAGGCTGCCCACCCTTCCCAGCACTGGAACCAGCTCCCCACACTCTTCTTCACTGGCTGCAGTCAGGATGTGAAACACCCACCTGTCCCCCAACCCTGTTTTCCAGCAAGTGCAAGGAATATTTACCACCCAGAACCACCAAAAGAAAGATGTGCCATTTTATCACCAGTTTATGGATGGACGTCTTTAATGTTCAAGATACATCACGGTGACCTGAGGAAGAACCAGTAGTAGGAACTGCTCAAACCACCTGTTTGGGTAAGAGCTAGAGAGGCGTTCCCTAATGCCCCATGAACACCTCTAGCTTTTCCGGCCTGGAAGAGAATGTTTTCTGCCAGACTTTGTCAGAGGAGCCACCTCTGATCTTTCCAGTGATTTGGTTTACAGAATGACAATGAGCATGAAAATGCATCAGCATTTTTGTGCCAGAGCCACAACTCTGGAGACTTTCCCTCTGTAACCCATGAATGTTGGGCTCCTGCTTTTCCCAGAGTGATGCTTCAGCACTGTGATGCCACATAGAGGGATGGACTGACAACCATGAGAGGATCCTGGAGAGCTCTCTCTGCCTGAAATTCAGCTGAATTTACTCCAAGCACACAGCAGCCTCTGGAGTCTGCGGCTGGAAGTGGCACAAGGCTCTCCAGAAAAGGCAGAGGACAATCCTGGAAAGCAGGATGTGGTGCTTCCTGCTGTGCCACTGCCCCAGGCTCCGATCAGGATCACGGAACTCCACAGTGGAAAGCACGGGGAATTTGCTTTTAACATTCTTGTGCTGGGACAAAACATGACCCAGGCTCTGGGTTGTAAGATAACGAGGGCTGGGCTCCTGCACACCCCAGACAAAGTCTTTGGTGCACTCAGGTCCCTGCCATGAAGATTCTCTCCCTCCAGGCAGCAGCAGCACAGCACAGGTGAACCCTTCACAACAAGGAGAGAGAGAAGCTTCTGAGAGATCTTCAGTTCTTAAAACACTTCAAAATTTAAATAGGCAAATACTCTCATGTGCAAACGATGCTCAGATATGTGTAAAACTCAGGTAATGGCACTCGGTGCTCCCAGCTGCGCCCCTCCCAAAGGCCTCGGAGGGAGGGGCTTGTGCAAAGCTCCTGGCAGGCCCCAGACAGGACACAGAACTTCAGACACGGAAGTGTTTTGGGGAGCACCTCCAGGCAATGTCACACGCTGACCAGGACGTGAGCCACCATGGACCCAGGTTTCATCTTCCAGGCCAGGTCTGAAGCCAGCACTTCTGTACTCACCACCCAGAGCAAGGTCAGACAAGGGCAGTTCCTAAAATCCCACAGAGATGTAGTACTGGCAGGTGTGACAGCACAGAGGTGGCAGGCCTGGGATTAGCAGGAACCACGGTGAGCACAGCCCCGAACACACACAGCACACCCCACCTCTGACAGCCTTTAATCTCTGCTGCAGCTCACAACAGGCACCTGGGGCACACCAAGGTCACACAGCTGTGCCAAAGGAGAAGACACGTCCCAGTCCAATGTCCAGGAGCCACGTTTGCCTGGTAGGCACTGTGTCTGCAGGTGGTATCAGCTGAGGGGGCACATCAGAGCCTGTGGGGCTCTCGTACCACCTGTGCAAGGTCACGCTGGGGGCACAGCACAGGCTGTGGAGCAGAGCCCACAGAGGGTATCCAGAGGTCACACCACTGCCACGTCCTGTGCCGGCCAGGGGCACTCTGTGTCTGAAGGTCACACTGGCAGAGGGGCCGGGTCACAGCCCAAGGAGCCTGCTGGTCACGTACCGTCCCTGAAGGTCACGGCGGCAGAGTGAACTGTCACAGCCCAACAGCAGACACACGGTGTCTGCCAGCTGCAGGGGGCACCCCCAGCCCTCTGCCAAACCCCTGGTGACACCGGGGAGCTGGGGCGCCCCGCCGTCACTTGAGGCCGTAGAGGATAGCAACGCCCGTGAAGAAAAGCAGCCCCACCGACAGGCTGGAGAGGGCCCTGAGGCGCCCCTGCTCCGCGGCCTCCTCCCGGCGGAGGCGCAACTGCTCCCGCCGCGCCCGCAGCAGCTGCTCCCGCTCCAGCTGCTCCCCGTAGTGCGCTCGGTAGAAGGCGTCGAAGTCGAAGGGCGGCGGGGCGGGCCCGGCGCGGGCGGCGGGGGCGCGGGGCGGCGGCGGGGCGGCGAGGCGGCGCCGGGCGGGCGGGCGGCGGGCCGGGGGCATCGCGCAGCTCCTGGGGGCTGAGCAGCCCGCGGTCGTACTTGCGGCGGAGCGCGGCGCTGCCCAGCACCCGGTAGGCCTCGCTGACGGCGGCGAAGCGCGCGGCGGCGGCCGCGCTGCCGGCGTTGCGGTCGGGGTGGTAGCGGAACGACTGCTCGTAGTACGCCGTCTTGATCTGCGCCGCCGTGGCCGTGCGCGGCACGCCCAGCACCTCGTACAGGTCGCGGCGCGGCCGGGGGGCCCCGGCGCCGCCCCCGCCGGTGTGCGCGGAGCGGGAGGGCGGCGGCGCCGCGGGGAGGAGGAGGAGGAGGAGGCGGCGCCGCAGCCGCCCGAGCTCCATCGGGGCCGCTCAGCGCCCGCGCGCCGCCGCCATCCTGCGCCCCGCGGCGCGCCGCGATGACGTCACGGAGAGGGCACGGCCCGTGGGGCGGTGATGTCACTCGGAGGCGTGGCCGGCGGGACGGTGACGTCACGCTGGATGAGCATCTACGGTGTGACGTCACGAAAAACAATCCCGACTATGCGATGACGTCACGCGGAGGCACGATCGTCGGGCCGTGACGTCACGCGGTGGCGGCGCGGCGCGCGGCAGTGACGTCAGGCGGCGGCAGCATGGCGGGCAGCGGGCGCCGGCCCGAGCACCGCGGGCCGCCCGAGCTGGTGAGCGGCGGGACCGGGGGGGGCACGGGGGGAACCGGGTCCCTCCAGGGGGTCCCTCCTGGGCCTCACCGCCCCCGCCGCTCTCTCGTTGCAGTTCTACGACGAGGCCGAGGCGCGCAAGTACACGCAGAAGTACGGCGGGGCCGGGGCTGCGGGGCCGGCAGGGGGGTCTCGTCATGGGGCCGACACCGTGGGTGGGGGGAGTCGCGCCTGGATCCTGCTGGGCTCGGCGGGGCCCGGCCCTGCCGTGAGGCAGCGGCGGGGCGGGAGGGCAGGACCGGGGCTCGGATCGTGCCGGGGGAGGGTGCGAGGGGGTGTCGCCTGTCGCCCGCGCTCAGCCCGTGTCTCGCAGCTCCCGCGTGGTGGAGATCCAGTCGCAGATGTCGGAGCGCGCCGTGGAGCTGCTGGGGCTGCCCGAGGACCGGCCGTGCCTCCTGCTGGACGTGGGGTGAGCGGGGCTCTCTGCCTGGGGCCGGGGGCTGGGAGGGGTGTGCGGTGGTGGGTGTCTCCCGTGGGCCGAAGAAGAGGGTGCAGCAGCGTTGTGTCTGGCCGGCAGTGCCCTCAGACCAGCCCGGTGACCTCTGTGCTCTCCCTGCTCCTCCCTCCAGCTGCGGGTCAGGGCTGAGCGGGGATTACATCTCTGAGGAGGGCCACTACTGGATTGGCATGGACATCAGCCCTGCCATGCTGGGTGAGCAGACCCTCCTGCCCTGGCACACCCGCCGTGCCTCAGAGGTCCCCGAAGCTGGGAGCTGGTTGCCTGAGCTGTGCTCTGTTCCCGGCAGATGTGGCTGTGGAGAGGGAGGTGGAAGGAGACCTGCTCCTGGCAGACGTAGGTCACGGCATTCCCTTCAGGCCTGGCATGTTTGACGGCTGTATCAGGTGAGTCTGTGTCCGTAACTGAGCCCTCCTGGTGCTCCACAGAACTGCAGAGCGCACATGGTGCACGTCTGGTGCATCACAGGTGGGCAGCACTGCCCTTGTCAGCTGCTCTTTGCTCCCTGTGCAACTTGACTCCTCACTCTGGGACAAACAGCCAAGATTTTGGATGGTAGAAGCAGCTCCTGACAGCTGTTTTCCCAAGTGATGCTTGTCCTTTTGTGCTGGTGAGCTCGGAATTTTGTTGAAGGAAAATAAAATTAAACTGGGGATGTTGTCAGGAGGGCTGAAACCTGCAGCAAGGAGGAGAGCAAAGTGTGTCTGTAGCATTGCTCAGCAAGGTCAGTCCCTGGATCAAGGAGTTGGTGGTTGGTATTGGGATGAAGGGCACAGAAGCACTTTTCTACTTAGAATAGCTCAGGAAGGTGCTGGGAAGGAGCAGGGACTGTCCATTACTGATCCAAAAGGTCTCACTGGGATTGCTCATTGGGAAAACCTGCTTGGCTAGGCAGGGGTCACAGCTGAGCTCTTGAATTATCATCAGGAGCTGCAGTGATAGGATAAGGAGTGATGAGTCCAAACTGAAGGAGGGGAAATTGAGGTGACAGATATGGCAGGAATTCTTCCCTGTGAGGGTGGAGAGACCCTGGCACAGGTTGGGCAGAGAAGCTGTGGCTGCCCCATCCCTGGAAGTGTCCAAGGCCAGGTTGGACAGGGCTTGGAGCAACCTGGGCTAGTAGAAAGTGTCCCTGCCCATGGCAGGGGGTGGAATGATCTTACTCTGAATGGTCCCTTCCAACCCAAACCATTCCATGATCCTAAGATTTGAGCACCTGGCCTGAAGGGGATGCTTGGTGATGCTTTTGGCCTTGAATAGCTACTTCACCTTGTTGGGATTTGGCGTAGTGAGTCTCCAGAGGGGTTTGTGTAACTGCAAAACAGAAGGCAGAGCTATGTGGAGAAAATTAAATCATTTCCCCGAGGCCCAGCACATGTTTAGTGCTGGAATTCAGCTCAAAGAGAGGTGACAGGCTCTGGGAAGGAACTGATGACTCAGTGTCCTGGGGGGGGGGTCTTGTTTTGCTCCTCAGTATTTCTGCAGTGCAGTGGCTCTGTAACGCTGACAAGAAATCACACAGCCCCCCAAAACGCCTCTACAGATTCTTCTCCACTCTTTACACTGCCCTGGTAAGTGCCACACTCTCCCTGCCACGCCTCTCCTGCTCTTACATCCTTGCTCATGCCTTTTGGCAAGACATTTTAAGCCAGGTGTTTTAAGTAAATGCTGCTCTGAGGCAGGACTGGCAGGAGCACCCACTGCCTTCTGTGATCCCTCGTGGCTCACTGGCTCTGGCAGCCTTGCCACGGAGGTTTTGGGGAGGTGGGAGCTCGTGTCTGGGGCAGGCATGGGGTGACCAGAGGGGTTGTCTGCACCGACACGGGTTTGTAACCAGCTTTATTGCCCCTAGGCCCGAGGATCCCGAGCTGTGCTGCAGCTGTACCCCGAGAACTCAGAGCAGGTACAGGCCATCCCTCAGTGGGGAAGGGGTGTGGGTGCTGTCTGGGGCTCTGAGTGCATCAGCTCTGTGTCTCTGTCCTTCCTGCCAGCTGGAAAGCTCCTCAAGAGCCCAAAGAAATAACCTCTAAGGAGAACACCCTGCGCAGTTTCTGTTGCATCGTAGATTGTCTTGGGCTGAGCCTTAAAATCAAAGAAAGTGGCAGGACACCATCTGAACCTGCTGTCCTGCATTTTCTCCACTGTGTCTGAGTCTGAAGACTGACTGTAGTCACCAGCACTGCCCTGTAACTCCCCAGGGCTGGAAAATCCAGCCCAGTATCCATTTCCTAGAGAGTTAACCCAGGTTAGACTGAGGAGCAGGGAGAACCAAACAAAGGCAGGGAACTGGTGTCTGGATGGCACCAGAAGCTGGGTGTAGAGCTTAGCAGGAGCATCTTGGGCATGCACAGTCAGCTGTGGTCCTCCCCAGAGGTACCCTGGGCATTCCTGGGGGATGACTGCTAATTAATTTTTGCACATGCTTCTCTTTCCAGCTGGAGCTCATCACAGCCCAAGCCATGAGAGCTGGATTTACTGGGGGAATGGTGGTCGATTACCCCAACAGTGCCAAAGCCAAGAAGTGAGTCCTGGGTCTCTGTGTGTGTGGTTGGGCTGAGGCCTGGGTTTAGCAGTGATTTTGCTTTTTTTCTCAAGCTGTTCTCTCTCTTATGATATTTACTGTGAGTCCTAGACAGAGGTTACAGCTTAAATCTGATAGTCTTAATAAACCATCCCAGTCTTGCTTGGGACTGAGACCCACATGCTGAATCCCAGCTTCATGCTCTTTATTCTTGTTATTTCAGGTTCTTCCTTTGTCTCTTTGTTGGGGCATCTGGCACGTTACCAAAGGTGAGGAGCTCCAGGAGGCAGCAGAGCTGCTGTCCTGGCTGCTGGGTGATGTGGAAGAGCTGTGGGCAGAGTGGGAGCCAGGCAGCTCTGCGAGGGCAGATGTGACTTCATGTATACATTTGTTGCCAGTCACCAAACCCTCTCATAGAATCATGGTTTGGGTTGGAAGGGACTTCAGCTCTTTCCACCCCCCTGCCATGAGCAGGGACACCTTCCTCTATCCCAGGTTGCTCCAAGCCCCCTCCAACCTGGCCTTGAACACTTCCAGGGATGGGGCAGCCACAGCTTCTCTGGGCAACCTGTGCCAGGGCCTCCCCACCCTCACAGGGAAGAATTTCTTCCCAATATCCAATCTAGCCCTGCCCTCTTTCAGTTTAAAGCTATTCCCCTGACTCGTGCTTTCTTTGGTACAATTTCTGGAAGACCAGTTTGTTCCTGCTCCGCTCCTTCCCCTTGCAGATCCCTGTGTTCCCCCTAATTCCGATGGTATGGCTGTCAGCTGTGTCTGCTCCAGAGGAGAGCACAACTTCCCAGTTTTGCTTTCCAGGGTCTTGGTACCGAGTGTGCCGATGAAGAGCTGCACCAGGCAAAGTTCACCAACGAGAGGTATCATTGAGGGGTGAAGCTGCAGGTTCTGCCCAGCAAGGAGTGGGAAAAGCTGGGTTTTCCTGGGGACCACAGCACTGCCTGCAAGACGTGCTGGGAGTGGAGGAATGGGAGGACCCTTGGCAGCCCAGGTGGGCACTGCTTGTTGTTCCCCAAGGGCCCAGAGACAGGGAACAGAACTGGTTAGTTTGAAGGGCTCTGCCATAAGGCTGTTGGTGCTTTCTGTCCAGCACTGGGCTCTCCAGCTGAGACCAGTGATGTGGAAGTGGGAATATTTACAGGGATGGTGATGCCAAACATGAAGGCTGCTATGCCTGAATCTTGGTGTTCCCTTTTTCCTGCTGTCCAGTTCTTTGCTTGGCTCTGCTTAGCTGTGGCCTGGGGGGGGGGAGTTTCCTGCTGTCCAGGTCTCCTCCCATGGCAGTGGTGCAGAGAGGAGCCCCTCTTGCAGCCAGTGGGAGAGACAGAGAACAAAAACCAGAGGAAAGTCGTCGTGGCTGCCAGGAGCTTGTGGCTGCCATGTTTTCCTACCTCTTACACTGCTGTTCTCTGGTCACTTAGTCCAAGGGGAGGGTAGTAGTTAGTCTTGGAGGGCAGTAGCAGAATTGGGAAATTTTTGGGAAGCCAGAGACTTTGCCTTGTTTGGAGTAGAGTGGACAAAGGGAAGGTGGTTGTGCTTGAGTCTGTAATCCCCTGAGGTCCCAGAGCCCAGAGTGCTGCTGGTGTGTCAGGTATGGCACAGGGGGCCTGCTGCAGTCTGTAAATGGTTAATATCCCTCAGCTCAGAGCCTGGGCTGGAAGCAGCCTCCTTCCCCAGCTTATGTGGAGTTGGACCATTTGGCATCAGTGCTGTCTGAGCTTCTTATCCAGGACTGGTGGGAGGGGAACTCGCTGCTTTTGTGACCCAGTTCTGGGTGACAGTCCTCTGGGGCAGAGAACTGTGCCCCCACACCTCAGTTCCTCTCCAGCTGCTGTCTGCCTTCTCCACAGGACACGGTTCAAAAACATCAAGGGCAAGTCTGTGAAGAAAAGCCGGGACTGGATCTTGGAGAAGAAGGAGCGTAGACGACGGCAGGGCAAGTGAGTTCATCTGAGGCTGGTCTGGCCTGCTGTCACCTGTCCAAACTCCTGCCACAACCCCTCTCCCTTCCCCTCCCAGGTGACCTGTTGGTGGTGCTGAGCTGCTCCCTGCTTCTCCCCACAGGGAGGTGCGAGCAGACACGAAATACACAGGTCGGAAGCGCCGCCCTCGCTTCTGAATTGCTCTGGACTCTGCAGCTGGGGAAGCGTGGTGTGTGGGTGCCTCCAGCGAGCCTCCTGTGGATGGCACAGATGGGCATCCCACACCTTAGACTTGCTGGGACAGGCCATTGTGGCTCTTGATGGTGTAAACTGGCTCAGGTGCTGCCCAACAGCCAACTGCAAAGCTTCCAGCCCTGCTTGCCTGCTGAAGGTGGAGTGGCAGACAGTGCTCTGGCCACTTGGGTGTCTGCAGTGCTGGCACTTACCTTCCTGAGTACAGCGAGCCAGCTGAGCTCTGGGTGAGCCAGGACATGATATCCAGCCTCCTCACTAAAGAGTCAACAAGTTGGAAGTGTTTGCTGGTCTCCTGTGTCCTGCTTCCATGGTGGGGAGTACTGAGGGGGTAATATGGCACCTAGTTCCCTGCCAGCTTCCCCTCTGTGTGCAGGTGGGAAGTCAGGCACTGTAAAGCTGTGGATCCCATGAGGGCAAAGCTGCCTCCTGGCAGAAATGTTATTCCTGGGGGCATTGCTCCTGAGGATGCTTGGTATCCTGTTTGCTTTAGTGCTCCCATGGTACTGGGGCTGGCTGTACCCCTTCCCCTGAAACAGAGAGGTGCCAGCCAGGGCTTTACAGTTACAAATGTTTATTCTACATAAAAATTCCACAAAATGGGAAGCTGTTTTGCACCCAAAGCTTTGGGAGAAGAAAGGGAGGCTAGCAGGGAGGGAAAAGGGGGGAGGAAAAAAGAGGCAACATACAGTGTCATCCAGCCCAGTGAGACAGAGCAAGCCAGGGTCAAGATCCACATAGAAAACAAGGACACTTAGCTCACAGTACAGCAACAGTACAACTCCACGGGGGGCTCGGAAAGCCTTCAAGTACATTAATTACAAAAAAAACCAATCCCCAGTTCGAGTGCAAGCTGTGCGTGCCCCACACTGCTCGTGGAATACTGCATCGACACGCTCCCGGCGCGGGGAGGGCAGGTGGCACTTGGAACAGAGGTGGTGGAACCCAAAGGACAAGCGGGCGGAGGTTTTGAGGGGGAGGGGGGGGCTGGAAAAGAAAAAAGTGAAATGTCTTCCCAAAGCACAACCACACTTGGTGATTTGGTCTGTACATGCAACGACAGGTAGGTAAAAAGGAACTGAACGGGGCTTCCCGTAGTGCAGGGGTAATTATTGCACCAAAACACCCTCCCCTCACAGCGAGGACAGTGTGAGCCTGCCTGTGGGGCAGCAGTGGCAGCCTGCTCCTCGCCTCGGAGCCTGGCAGTGCCACGGCCTGCAGGATCCCAGCAAAGCGCCAGCGGCCCCGACTGGCCCCGCCCGGCTCCTGCTGCTGGGGGGCTGCTGGCAGTGGTGGTGCCGACAAGGAAGGAGCAAGGGCCAGAATTCCCCTTGTGCCTTGACGGGGGTGCCACAGCCCTGATGTCAGGTGAGCATGTGCCACAAAAGCCGCTGCTTGGAAGAAAAAAAAAAAAAATAAGTCACCTTGTGCTAGCAGTGGGCATGGCTGCAGGGCGGGAGCCTGGGAGGAGGGTTTTCCTGCCTGCCCAGCGTTATTGCTTCCCGGAGGAGGGGCCCGAGGCTCCCGCTGGCCCGGCAGAGCGAGCGCAGGCGGCCGTGGCAGGGAGCTGCACAGGGGCAGGAGCGCGGGCGCTCGGCATCACCTCCAGCTCCCTTTCCTGCAGCCAGACATGTCCCTCCCAGAGCAGGGACGCTGCCCGTGCTTTCCTCCTGCCCCTGCCTGGGCGGTCCCGCTGCCCTCAGCCCTTCGGCCCGCGCAGGCTGCAGAGCTGGAGCTGACATCCACTGGTGCAGGACCGTGAAAGGGGGGCTCCGCCCTTGGGTGTTCCAGTGGCAGCACCCCGAGGGGCTTGGGCTGGGCAGTGCGGGGCACCGGGCTGGACCCAACCGGGGGCTGTACGGTGGGGCCTCTGGTGACAGTGGCAGGGAAGGAGCCGTGTCGGGGCTGCTGCTGGGCAGGACTGGCCCCAGGGGAGGCAGCGCTGCGTGGTTACAGCCACTGCCTTCCCCCGCACCCAGGGGCACCACACAACCAGCGCCTGAGCCACAGCACCCCACCGGCTGCTGGAGCAGCCCTGCCCTGGCCCCGGTGGGAGCAGGGAGGTGACACTGCCCGTGGCTGGAATACTGGCTGTCGTCAAGTGCCCCTTTTCTGCTACCAGCACCCGGGTTCACAGCCCTGTCCCAGTGCATGGCAGTGAGCCTGGCCTCAGGTGCCTCCCCTGCTCGGGGCTCTTCTAGGGTGCTTTGGCATGTGCACAGGCCAGCTGGAGCTCTGGGCTCTCCGGAGGAAGGTGAGGGCAGAGCCCTGTCCCCAGCCCCAGGGGAACAGGCAGTGGCAGCACAGGACCCCTCTGAGCTGCCAGCAGGACCCCCCAGCAGCTGCATTCATCTCCTGGGTATGGCAGAGGTGCTCCCACAGCACGTGGGCAGGTGCCTCATGGGATGGCTGAGCAGAAGGGCACTGTGCCAGGGGCAGGGGGGTGCCAGGAGGTGGCAAAGAGGCAGTCAGGCACTGGCCTGCTCAGGAGCTGGTTGGATACAGGAAGAGGAAGGTCTCACTTGCAGGGGGGTGGATGCAGCAAGGGCTGCTCCTGGGACCACGACAGGAGAGAGCCCAGCTGCCTCCAACCCCTGGCCTGTGTGGAGAAGCCAGAATGGAGCAGGCAAGTGCTGCCAGGGGCTGTGGGCATCAGTGCCAGCCTCAAATCCCAGCGACAGAGCCCAGGCCTTGGAGCAGCAGGAACCAGGACCACCATGTGCCAGGGCTGAGGGCAGAACGATGAGGCTCCGGTGTAGGGCGAGCAGACAACGAAACTCACTGGCTGTAAACTACCTGTGCCATCCTGCCCTGCCAGGCCAGCAACCAGGTGCAGCACAGGTCCCCCCGTGGCCTGTCCCTGTCCCCAGGCAACTGTGATGGCCCCAAGCAGCAGCTGCTTATCCCACACTGCTCCATCAGGCACCCACCACCCACAGCAGCACATCCAGCCCCCGGCACCTGCACCAGAGAGAGGGCTCTCCTGGGGAGGGGACAGCCTTGCCACTGGTGGAGTGACAGGGACAGAGCCCCAGAGCCAGGCACAGCCACGGGACAGGTAGGGCCAGGCAGAGCACACCCCTGGGGAAGGACCCCGGAGCGAAGCAGCCCAAGGGAAGGTGTTTGCAAGCACAGACGCGGCTGACAGACATGAGAGCTCTGGCTGGAGGTGATGGGGAAGCTGGGGAGGTTGACTGGGCACTGCGCTCCCGAAGACCCCTAACACCTGCCTCCCGTCCCTCCTCATCCTTGGCTGTCTCTAACACAGACTGCCCAGCACAGGAGGAGCAGCAGCGCCCCGAGGGCACCTCTGTCCCCACCTGGTCCCAGCCAGCCACCCGGGCTGGAGCAGTGATGAGAGCTCGGGTTCCCCCCTCCAGGGTCCCCCTCGTGCCCATCACCGTCCCCGGCCCCCCGCCTGCACCCCGGGGCCGGCGCTCCCTCCACACAGACGCACCGCACCGCACACACAGCGTCACAAACAACCATGCATTAGAAACTGAAATGCTGCTGGGAGGCTCCGGGGCTGCGTGGGTCGCTCCGGCGTGGCTGCAGCCCCATGGCACGCGCGGCTCCGTCCATCGCACACAAACAGTCCCGTGGGGTGAGTTTAGCCGAAAATGCCACCGAAGGTGGAGGCGATGACGATGCCCAGGATCACGCAGCAGATTATGATCATGATCTTCTTCTGCTCAGGTGTCCCGGCAGCAGAAGGGAGAGAGGGGAGAGGGGATGGTGAGTGTTGGGGCAGGATGCACTCGGGAGCTGAGGCTGCAGTCTGCCCTTGTTCCCCTTTGCCCGTGGTGGGCTCTGGGCAGCACCTTGGGAGCCAGACGGGCTCTGGCTGCCCTGGGCAGGGATGAACACCCCAGCTCTTGCTTCAGCCCTGGGCTGGCTGAGCTGAGCTGGTGGTCCCTGGGTTCCTGAGCTGATACAGGACCAAGTGTCAGGAGAGGGACAGGCAGCTGGCACTGTGCTCAGGGTCTGAGCTGGACCATGCCTTTTCTCTATTTATTTATGGCAAGGGGCATGGCTCTCACAGCAGGCCTGGCCCAGGGGATCCACCCTGTCCCTCTTCCTCTCCCCAGGCACAGGCAGCAGGCCTGCCCCACGGCTCATTGTCAGCTTTCATGCAGCCTGTGCTGGGAGCTCTGCCTCAGCTGTGCCATGGGCTGCAGACAGTGGTGTGGGGTAATGCAGTGCCCAGGCACTTAGAGGCTGTGCCACTCTGCCCGGGGCAGGCAGAGGGGCAGGCAGGGTGGCAGCAGAGCCCTGCCCCCAGGACAGAGCTGTCAGCAGCGCAGGCAGGGGCAGACGGGCCCCAGACAGAGCCGTGACTCACCCGTCTGGCTTTGCTCTGGTACTTCACCGCTTTTTTGGTGTCAGACACAGCCCTCTCCACGTAGTCCACCGAGTGCTCCACGTTGTACTCGATGCGGTCAATCATCTCTCCCTGCAGAGCGAGGACACAGCCCACGCGCCCGCGCGCGTGCCGGCGTGAGCTCCTTCCTGCTCCGCTGCTCCCCAGCGCCGGGTGGGCACTGCCCTGCCCGACAGCCCTGCGTGGAGAGAGGGACCGTCAGTGCCTGCAGGCTCTGGGATGCCCTGGGGTGGGAGCTCTGGACTGCGTGCCCTGTCCCAGAGGACCTCTGTGCACGTCCCAGCAGGGAGACAAGCAAGGGAGAGGGTCGAGGCAGTTCCCAGCCCCCTCCTGGCCTGGCGGCCGCCCTGTCCAACATCTCAGGTGACATCAAAGCCACAACACGGACACCGCGCCGCAGACATCGGGGGCTCAGCAGGGAGCAAGGACATCCCCAGCAGAGCCACGTGGGACGCTCACGAAACCATGCGCATGCAGGGACCACCACTCCGATCCACACAAGTGCCGTGCCGAGGGCAGGAGAGCCTGGAGCGAGGCTGGCCAGGACTGCAGGGCTCTGCAGGGACTCCTGCCCCACTTTGCCCCCCACTGCAGGAGAGGCTGGAAGTGTGGGCTCCTGGGGATGTGAGCGTGAGCTCACTCAGCCTGTCCACCTCCTTTGACCCCATCCTGACTGTGCAGGGAAGCAGCCAAGTCCTGCAGTAGCTGGACAGGGCTGGCAGGAGCCAGTGGCTCGAAGCCCAGTGCCCTCCTGCATGGCATGGAGGGAATTTGAGACACAGAGGTGGGAGCTCATGGCCAGCAGGTTGGCAATGCCTATTTCTCAACCTAATGCTGAAGAACATGGGGAGGACAAGCCTTGAGGCCCAGGGTTGCTGTGGTGTTACTTCCCAAGCACTGACTCCACCAGCTGTTCCTTGCCTCACCTAAAGGTGCTGCTTCTCCTTCCCACCTGTGCTGTGCCTGGGGCAGAGCGGAGCTGCCAGCCCTGCTGCCAGCCTGGCACCTCTCTGCTCCCAGTGCTGGCAGCTCTGAGCCTCTCACCCCACAGGGCAAGGCAGGCTGCTGGCACTGACCAGCCCTTAGAGCGGGGCAAGAAACCACAAACCCCACACATCTGTCATGCAGGAGCAGCCATGCAGAGCAGAGCATGCAGCACCACGAGGCTCGGCCAGTGGGCCTTTACCTGCCACTGATGTCTCCTCAGGCCGTGGCAGCATGGCAGGCAAGAAGGGGGGTGAGCAAAGACACCGGAGCACGCGCCCAGCTGAGGGGCCACGTGCCACGGGCTGGCGGCACCTCGAGCTCGCCCATCTGGGCCCAATACTCAGGGCAGGTGGAGAAATCTCCCCCTGCGTGGCAGCCACCCACTGCCCTCCTCCAGAGCCCATCACCAAACCTCCCACCCCAGGCATGCAGCACCCCTGGCTCTGGGGCGCAGGGCGGGTGGCTCCGAACCTGGGGAACCCAGCTCAGCCCCACTGGGAGCCACGTCGGTCCTAGATGTGGTTTTTCCCTTCAGCACCCACCCAGGCAAGGGACCACTGTCCCCCAACCTCCCCACCCACCACAGGGACCCTCATCACCCTCCAGCTCCCCCAGGTGAGCGACCCCTGGGCCGCAGCGACTCCCTACCTGGCTCTCCACCAGCATGGCCATGTCCATGAACATGTCGTGCAGCTCTCGGATGCTGTTCTCCAGTTTGATGATCTCGCTGTGCCGTGTCTCGATCTCATTCAGGGCCTGCTTGGTGATGTTTGAATCCATGATGATCTGCAAAGGAGATGAGGCCGTTGAGCACCGTGCTGAGCCCCAGCTCAGGCGCTGGGGACTGGGGGCACCAAGAGAGGGACGAGGAGGAGCTCCAGAGCCCCTCCAGCAACTCCAGCCAGGTAGTTTGCAGCAGGAAGCCAGCATGCAGGCTCTGCTCCAACAGTGTTCTCAGGCCAGACCTGAGCCCTGAGGGCTGCACTGTGGCCACTGTGGCAGCACATCCACCAGCCCATCCCCTGGGATAAGGGGGCTGGCTCGGCTGCAGC